GTCCCCACCCTCCCTTCACATCCCTTTCCATATTATTTTTTTTGAAGCAAAACATTTATTGGTACATTTTAGATATACATAATGATAACATTCATCATAGGGGATTTGTACCTGTACATGATACATCTTGCTTCTTCTTTAGATTGACACTTTTATCATTACAAAATGTCCATGTTTGTCTCCAGTAATGTTTTACTTTTTTCTTTAAATTTTTGTTTTAGGGCTTGGGATTTAGCTCAGTGTTTCCACCACCTGCCTCTCAAGCACAAGTTCCTGAGTTTGACCCCTGGTATTCTCCCCACTGAAAATAAGTCTGTTTTATCTGATACTAGTATAACCACTCTGGCTTTCCATGGTTGTTGCTTCCATGTATATTCCATGCTTCCATCCTTGTACTTCTAACTTATTTGTTTCTTTGACCTTAAAGTGTGCCTCCGGCAGACAGCACACAACTGAACCATATACTTGGTCAAGTACCTCGGACAACCTCTGCTTTTTTATTGGATTGTTTTCTGGCTGTTGTGAGCTACACCCAATGCTTTGTTTGTCACACCAAAAGACCTGGAGTCTGTCCCAAGACCTCATAAACCGTGGTAACAGAATGAGTCTTACAGTGGGCTGAAACATAGAGCCCTGATGGCGCCGAGTGAGCCCCTAGTTCTAGCCATGTTTGGAAGCAGCCATCTCATTTGGACTTCTCAGTTAGCAAAGCCAGTGAACTGATTTCCTTCTTTGCTTTGCTGGAGTCAAGTTTCATATTAACGTGGAATTATAACTAATATTTTGAACATCAAATCTTTAATAGTGTGTAAGTGATAAGACTGCAGAAATCATGTTCAACAAATTTGTAAGCTAGGGTCATTTCATGTGATGATCTGGGTAGCTAATAGCAACACAGTCATGACACAGTCACAGGCCACTGTAGGGATAGGGAACAGGGAGAATTACGGGGCTTTGCCTGATGCTCATTAAAAGCATGATTTGTGTTTTCTTCCGGGACAGTCAGGGATTTAAAAACCGTTCCTGCTATGAACCATGACTCTCCACTAGAGCCTACAGGGGCCCAATGGGTAACTAAAAGCCAAACAAAGCTTGATCTTCATTTTGTATTCTTTGTTACTATAAATCTTGGATCAGGAGATCCAAAAAAATCTGTGTAGGTGCTGGCCAGACTGGGTCAATTAGCCCTCAATTAACTTGTTCTCATCCCCCTTCAAGACCTTCAAGAGTGAGGACACCAAGATAAGAGGTTTACAGGGATGTACGGTTATACCCATAAGCCGCCAGCCATTGTCCTATAACTGTAACCACATGATTCTAGGAAAGGCAGGAACCATGTATGATGGAGGTCACCACAAACAGAGACAAACCTTACCTAGGAATGGAACCACCGCTCAGCTGTGAGATTCTAGAGCAATGGCACTATAATGATCAACTGGACCCCAGTCCCCCAGCTGATCCTTGAAAACGGGCCTGGGCTGGTCTCAACCCCTCTACCAGCATGTGTCCCCTTCAGCACCTAAGCTAGAGTTCTTTCTCATCTTCCCTCTACTATTCCAACAGAAACATTTCCTCCCTGTAGATTCACCCTTTAGGGTTAATTTTCATTTCTATGAAAGCAAAGACACAATCTGGCTGACAGCAATATCATCCCAATAACTTTATAGCCTCTTGATGCTTGATGAAATTACAGATCTCATTTATGGTGATTCTAACTGGTGTTCTTCTTAATAAAGACTTTAATATATTCATATACATCTGTTAATATGTGTTATCCAAAGGGTTGATTCCAAGAATTTTTCAATGTTAGTTGCCAGTGCTGAGGTGTAATATTAGTAAAAATATAGAAATCTGACCTGAAAAGTTCTTTAAAAATCTAATAAACTTCCCTTTTCCATTAGCCAACAGCTAGTTTATTCTAACGCCTCTGGTAAGCATATAGATTTCCAAACATCGGAACCAGTTATAGGCCCTACTAGCAAATCAGAAATGGAAAGGGAAGATTATATATATTGTGATATACACAATAAAGGTATAATAAGATTTTTAATTTGGCATGGTATTGCTTTGAAGTAGTAAAGGATGTAACAAGTTTCGTGGAAATAAAGTCAGAAAACTCTCATGATAAATTTACCGACAAGGCAGTAAGCAATTTTTTTCTGTAACCCTTGATAATATTCCTCCCTAATTCCTTCCTTGAATATGGATGCTTTGAGGCAAGTAACGGCAGCAAGAAAGACATCAGACATTATCATCGCGGAGCTCATTAAAACTTGGTGAAAATCAAAACTGTTCTCCCTGCTGAACTCTGTATAGCAACTAACCCTACCTCTCAGTACCACAGTGGGTGCCACTTGCCAATAATGTCTGTGAAAATCCTGCAACCCAATGATCTCTGTCACATTTTTTTTAAATCTCTAACATTCCAGAGGTCTTCAGGTACTGAGGAGAGACGTCTTCACAATCAAACAGCACAATGTGTAGCAAAATGCAGAGATCTGTTATACGAGCTCACCAATCAACTGGTACAAAGGTGAAATCAATTTATGAAACTCAATTATTCTTACAGAAGAAAAGGCTTCCTGGAATCGACTAAGGACCCACTTAAATGAACAAATTTGATTTATTTGTAATTGGCATATTGCTTTAAATACTTTAAGCTTCTGAATTACCTGAAAATGTGCGTTTTAGCAAACTTAATCAAGCCAGATGCACTGTAATTTGCACTAATAACAGTCCTGCCCCTAAAACAATGATGCACAGAAGTAGAGAACACCCATTGGCTTCTAGGACTTCATAAACCTTACATTGTGCAATTTGAACTCCCCTCCTACTCAAGAATCTGATTAGGCTTGAGGTGGAAAGATGTGTGCACTGACACTACAGGATTCTTATTTTTTTTGGTACCAGGGATCAAACTCAGGACTGTGCACTTGTGAAGCAGGCAGTGGCACCACTGAGCTAAATCCCCGGCAGACACTACAGGATTCCTGTGGTAAAATCTTAGTGGAGAAAGGGTCTCTCCTGTAGGCTTGGGGTAAATGACATCATCCGCTACAATGCCTTCCTTCTCCATGCTACACATTTGATTTGGCTTTAGAAAGGTGAGTTTTAAGGAAAACATGACCTAAACTTTATTTCAAATTACTCTGAAGATCAATGCATCTCAGCCATGCCCCCAAATCCTGTGTTCATAATCTGCTGTTATGATACAGGACCGGGGGAAGTAAATGTTCTGTCAGCCACAATCTCTCTTTATTATTTTAGAGAGGACTAGTTTCCATTATCAGAAGCAGATAAGGAATGCCATCACCCATTTGTCATTTGGAATGGAACACTTACTTTGTGGAGAATGAACGAAAGCCATCATGTGGTGGGTGTGTTTTTTATAATAGTGATAACAAAGTCATAAGTCAAGGTCAGGAAAAATTCAGATGTGGTTCCACTGGGTTGCTAAAATTTTGCATAGGGTGGGGAATTTCCCAACATGAAATTTGGCTTTCTAATACTTCTTTTTGTCTAAATCAGGGACAAGAACAAGAAACCTGACTTTTTCTCTCACCTCAAATGGCAATTAGTTTTTACATCACCATCTTAGAGACTGTAGTTCCATTTCTTATCCCCACTTTTATGCAATTAAGTCCATTTTTCTAAGCCCGTTAGAAACCACCACAAAGAGGACAAACCCCTAGGCTCTTGACCTAGGGATGAGAAGCACTCATTTAAATCATCATCGTTCCTTCATCCCTGGGCCTGTCAGGGATTTGAAAGCTGCTTTTTCTAAACAAACAAGCAAGCAAATTAAAAGCTGTGACTTCACTTGAGTTTACAGATGCGCAATCAGTTTCTAGCAGCAGAATAAAGATTTGACCTTCATTTTGTATCTGTCTCTTTTACTAGCTTAAAACTTTGGGTCAGATCTTTGCTCAGTTCTGTATATAAGCATGTTAACCATTTATAGAATGTCCAAAAACTGGCAATACAAGATTTACTAGTCCTGAATTTATATAACCTATCACATCCCCCTTCAAGATAAGTCTCCAGTCATTTTCCTAAATGTATGGTCAGTCACCTCAGTTCCAGCAGAACCTCCACAAAGCTGAGACCAACTTGTCTCAGGAAGACCAAATTGTTCCCTTAAGCAATAAATATTCTGCAGAGCCATCTTGCAAAATCTGAATGGAGCTTATAATCAGCCAGAAGCTGGCCCACTGAAACAACTCCTTAAAAGCCGCTCTTTTTGTTGATCTTCATCAAAGCAGTGCCCTTTAACCTCCTTGAGCTGAAGTCCTTTCTTATTTTCTAACTCTGCCTAGGAAATCAGCCTCTGTCTCTCACTAACGTGTCCTGGGATACTTTTCTACAACTGTATGTCAAGAATCTGCATGGTCCCCATCCCCTCCTTAGGGGGATATGCTTGGGCCCCATCTGGTAATATTACAACATGTCAAAAAAGGAGTCTGCAGCACATGAAAATAGGTTATTTAATAACAGAACGAAGCTGGATGTGGGCTTTGTAATCCCAGGAAAACATACAATTTAAAAATTAATAACTGATAGGCTTATCCAGAACTCAGGTCCCTTTCTGAATTACACCTTAGCACCACTGTATTTTGTAGTAGTTATTGTTAAAAGAGAAAAAACAGTAATGGCAGCTAACGTTTATTGAGAGTCAACCATATGCCAACCCTGAGGAGCAGTGAGTTTTGGAAGTTAGTGTATTTCTCACACAGATAGTAACTGGTGGAGCCATAGCCACAAAGATCCTTAACCCAGGCCATGGTCTGGACACTGTAGTCCCTCATCTTGGGGGGAAAAACCCTGGAACACAAGAGCCCTCTCTCCACACACTGCAGACTAGACATCAACTACAAAATCCAAAGGAGGCACATTTTTTTTTTTAACTGTACTAAGGGTTTCTAAAGACTTCAGCTAACTTCACCACATCTCTACGGGCAAGTCTTTCTAAGCTGCAGCTTAAGAAAAACAGGTGCTCCTACCGGAAGAAAGAGTCTCTGGGCAGCACAGGGTTTGAATAATCTCTTCCATTCTTGAGAGTTTCCCACAGAGAACGTGATGGGGTAGATTCTGTGCTCAAACTTCTTCGTATATGAGTCAGGCCACTGTCGTAACTGAAAAACACAGAAGGCAGGGAATGGTGTTTAGACATCAAGAAATATGGAAGGCTTCTGGATGGTCAAATGGAAATTGTTCAGGCAATTTACACAGAAAGTCTAACCTCTACACAGCTATTAGCCTCAACACAGCTTAAACGAAAGGCCATTTTCTCCCATCAGAACTGCCAGGATTTAAAACAAGTGACAGTCACAGTTGGCAAGGGAGTTGAGAAACTGGCACAGAAACAATGCCATGGGGGGTAATGATTTGAATAAATTGCCAGCAGGGTCATTTGGAAAACAGTTATAACGACAAAGTCCAAAAGAGAGAGGAACAAAGACTTGGTACAACCTAATTTGCAGTAGCAAAACTTGGGAACAGTCATAATATCCAACTACATGGGATAGGGAAAATAAATTATGAGAAAGTTATACCATGGAAAAATGTAGTTAGACTGCACGGAAACATAATTGTGATGTACAGTTAGTATCCAAGAAAAGTGAAGTGCAAAAAAAATTTATAATGTGGCTCTGACAGGGACAAATACATGTACATATATTTTATATGAAAAAAATGTGGACAAGGTTAAAAGTGGACACTTCTAGAGGTAGTGGTGGTGATTTCATTTCCTAAATTTGTATTTTTGTATTCTGTAGAAATTTTTTGTGACTATGTACAATAAGTTTTTTAAATTTTTTAATAGATTATTATATTGCAGTAATTTTATGTTTACAGAAAAATTGGGCAGAACATATTGAGGACCCATCTAGACCCCCACTTTCCCTGTGCCACAACTGCCCCACTATTGCTATCTTGCATTAGTGTGATTTGTTCAATATAATTGATGAACCAATACTGATACACTGTTATTGTTATGATTATTATTTCTTTTTTTTTGAGACAGGGACTCAATGTGTAGTTCAGGCTGGTCTTGGAAAGGCAGCAATCCTCCTACCTCAGCCTCCTGAGCACTTTGAATACAGGTGTGCACTACCATGTCTGGCTTTGATACACTATTATTAACTAAAGTCCATAGTTTACAGTAGGGTTAGCTCTTTGTGTTGTATGGCTCTATGGATTTGGACAAATAAATAATTTAATATAGGCAACACTGTCATATCATACAGAACAGTTCCACCCTACCTCTGTTCCACCTATCCAACCTTTCCTTTCTTCATGCCCATCAACTCTAGTAATCACTTTATTATCTTTTAGATTTACCTTTTCCAGGATATCATATAGTTGGAACCATATAGTGTTTAGCTATTTCAACTAGGCTTTCTCACTTGATATTTGCATTTAAGCTTCCTTGTGGTTCTTTTCTGGCCCGATAGCTCATTTTAAAAAATCCTTTAATAACATTCGATTGTATGGCTATACAATGGTTTGTTTCTCCATCCACCTACTGAAGCAACATTATGTTTGCTTGCAGTTTGGAAAAATTATTAAGAAAGCTGCTATAAATATTTCTGTGCAGGCTTTTACAAGTTTTTAACTCCTGTGGGTAAATGCTTAAAGCTGCAATTGCTGCATCAAATGGCAAGACTACGTTCAACTTTCTAAGAACCTGCCAAACTCTTTCATAGTTAAAACACTTTGTGCTTTTATAACCTTCTTTTGGCCTTTGATATTCTGTTTTTTTTGCTGTGATATGCATACTTGTAGATTTCTCCCTATTTATTGTTTTTGGTTTTTTTAAATTTCTTTATTTTTTTGTTTGTTTTTTTGAGACAGGGTCTCACTATGAAGTTCAGACTGCCCTGGAACTCACTGTGTAGCCCAGGCTGGTCTCCAACTCACAGCGATCCTCCTGCCTAGCTTCCCGAGTTCTGGGATCACCGGCATGTGCCATCACACCGGGCTTCTCCCTATTTATTCTGATTAGGATATACTAGGCCTCCTGGGTCTGTAGACTAGAGCTGACCATCGTTTCTGCATTGTTCTCACCTACCGCGTCTTTACAAACCTCCTGGCTTCCGACTCTCCTTTCCTTCCAGAACTCATTTGCAACGCACTGCCTTCTGCACCATTCCCTTCATATCTCTTAATTCCTAGTTGGTTTTTTCCATTTCTTTTCCTCTCCCTGCAGCATTCTGTATAATATCTTTCAGTTCATGGCTTTTTTCTTCAGCTCTGTCTTTTCTGCTGATTAACAGTTTTCACACTGCAGGTCTTTTAGCCTTTTCTCACATTTACCAGAGATGTCAGACCCTTGTTCTGACTTAATTATGTAGCTCTATGTTCAAGAAAATAGTTAGGCCCAGTGTGGTGGCTTGTAATAGGCCCAGTGTGGTGGCTTACAAGTGGTACTTGTAATCCCAGCACTTAGGAGGCTGAGGCAGGAGGATCACAGCAAGTTTGAGGCCAGCCTGAGGCTACAGAGTGAGTTCAAAGCCAGCCTGAACTATACTCCAAGACAACGTCTCAAAACAAAACAAAGCCAAATAACAAGCCAAAACCAAGGCAAAAAACGGACAAAAAGAACGTAGTTGGACCTGAGCCTGCAGAGCCTGATGGTGATAACTACCTACTGAGCTTTGCACAACTCTGTACTGAACAGTACTGTGTATTTACTCCACTCTGGGTACCAGAGACTAGGCCGCCGTGTAGGTGCACTGGCACTGGTGACCATCAAGACACTGAGAGGCCCCTTGTCTCACATGAAGCACTCTGTTGGACTTAGAGGGGAGCAACTGAGATTACAGAGGTCTAACGTGACTCTCGCATTCAGACTCGTCAAGCATGATGGCCTGTCCACCTGCAAGGCCCTTTGGGAACTTGGAACTAATGCCTTTCTGTTGTGACTGAGAGCGGGCCGGCAGGTGAGCTACCTGGGAAGGGGGAAGCTTACCGTCAGGTGCACAGGTGTTGACCACGAGCACTGGCTGCTCTCCTGGGTCCCAGCCTGGCACTTAGTGGCAACATGGCTGAATTCTCAGCTGTAAATGCTGATTGTGTTGACCTTTACCTTTTTCAGACTCATCCAAGTGCATCTATGTCTGATCCCTCGTTAATCAGAACCTCCCATTACTTGTCAGTTTGGTGGCTGAACAGTCAGGAAGTTGTTGAATTTTATCAATTATATTTCATTGCTAAAGGCTGCCTTGTCCCCCTTGCCTTTTGCCTACTCAAATTTTCTCTCTCCTGGCTGTAAACACACTGCATCTGTTCTCGATCAGTCCAACACACGTGTTCCCGGTGCTTCTGCTTTCTCTCCTGGCGCTTGCTTCCTTGCATGTTAGGTGAGCTTTGATTACAGAAATTACATCTGTGGGAACGTCTGCTGCCTGGGTGGACACCGAGAGCCTCCAGGAGGATCAGTTTTTGTTTCTTGAGGTAGGAGGCCCAGAGGCACAGAAGAGGCCTGGGCCTTCTCTCACTTCCAGTTCTCCACTTGTATTTTTTTTTTTTTTTTAAAGGACCCCACGAATACTTGAGTTTCAGGTTTTGAGTCCACCTGGGGAATGATAATTTCCACAGGTCCTTGAAGGAGAAAGACTAAAAGAAAAATTTTTTACTCAAAGTCAAGGCATCATTCCTTGTTCTCACACTATGGGAAGTTTTTATGTTTTAATTTAACACATCTTTCCCCTAAAAGTGTAGCCTTTATTGGGTCCCAGCTTTTTATGAGGGGTGGTGGTGCTGAGGGTTGAACCCAAGGCTTCGTGCATGCTAGGCAGGTGGTCTCTCACTTAGCTGCGGCCCAGCCCTCAGGTCCCAGTTGTGTAGGAAGCGGTCTCCTTTCACCTGGTGTCTGTGCAGGCTTTGGGCCACTGCCCAGGGCCATGGACTCATCGGCATGGGCTTTATGACTCTCTAAACACCCACAGGCACAGTGCTCACTTAGCCACTCATCTTGTGCTTTTACCTCATTCTTTACCCATGCAAATCATTCTCCTTTCCTGCAGTTCATTCATTTTTGCAAATTTTAAAATAGTTTTCAACACGTATACTTGTTAGAGCACAAGAAGTTAGGGTCTCTGATTCATCTCATTGCCCTCACGTGGCTTTGGCGGGCTGACAACAACAAAGCAGATATAGTGGACCCTTGACTTATGAACTTGATCTTTTCCCAAGGGCTGATTGCAATGCAAGTTGGTTTTAAGTCAGTACAGCTGAGTTCCGGATGTTTACCTGGGTACACACTATAGATAGCAAGAGGCAGATGGATCTTCTATCAAACTAATTACTCCAAGTCATTTTTTTGTCAGGCTGATTGTTAATTTGAGAGTCCACTGAACAAAGAAGCCAAAACAACTAAATCGCAGTGGGCGTGGTGGTGCACGCCTAAAATCTCTGCATTTAGGAGGATACCTTGAGTTTGAGGCCAGCCTGGGCTCCACAGTGAGTTCAAGGCCAGCCTGAACTACATAGTGAGCCCCTGTCTCAAAAAAGGAAAAAACAGGGCCAGGGATTTAGATCAGTGGTTCTGCTGCCTGCCTCAGAAGTGCCTGAATTTGATCCCCAGAACCAAAAAAAAAAAAAAAAAAAAAAAAAAAAAAAAAAA